ATCCTTGACATAATTTCTTCTTTGATCTCCTCCACTTTACGAAAAGTATCCTTGTTCCACGCCTTATTTTCTCCTTTAGACTCTTAAGCTTCCTCAAGAAGTTAACCCCTTTCTTCAAGCCTCTACCCTTACCTCCTGCCACCAACGTCTAAGCTTTTCTACAAAGGTAGGATCCTCCAGTCACGTGTTTTCAAACCTAAATGGTGAGGGGCCCCCTGGAGCTAGGCAAATAGGGCAATGATCCAAAGTCACTGTCACCAAAGCTCGTGAAATTAGATCATCTGACAAGACTTCCCAATCCATTGAAAAAAGGAATATGTGTAATTTAGAACAAATTGGGGAGTTTTGAAAATTTGACCAAGTCAAGTCAGCTTGTAACAATGGTAACTCTTTCAGTTCAAATAGGTCTACAAACACATTAAACTTCCTCACACTTGTGATTCTTTGGCTTGTAACAATGGAATAGAGTAGCGTTTGGAAATGTGGCAACAAGGAAAGTAGAAATTTTAAAAAAGATGGCAGATTGGGACGGGGTGGAGGAGAGGAATGTGTTGACAAGAGAAGGCAGAAGGGAGAGGGAGATATTGATGGGGGAGCTAAATAAGGTAATTCATGAACAGGAAGTTATGTGGAGACAGAAGTCTAGGGCTTTGTGTCTGATAGAAGGAGATAAAAATATTTCCTTTTTTAGTGCAAGACAAGACAAAGGAGGAGGAGAAGTTTATGTTCAAATTGGAAGAAGGGGAGAGAGCTATTGATGATCCAAAGGAAATTGTGGAGACAATTAGAAGCCACTATATGGATTTGTTTAAATCCTCTTCAAGTAAGAGATGGTTTTTTGGGAGATTGGAGAGGGTGTGAGGGATTGATTAGAAAGATAGTTTGATGAATTAGAGGTGTGGGAGGCAGTAAAAAAGACGAAGGGTGGCAAGGCTCTGGAACCAGATGGGTTCAATCTTTCTTTCTAAAAGTTGTTGGAATATTGTCAAGGAAGATGTAATGGGAATGGTTAAGGAGTTTTCGCAAGAAAAGTCATTTGAGAAGAGTGAAAATCAGTGATTTAAAAGGCATGCCTAGGCGCGCATGCGAGGTGCATTTTAGGGTAGGCGCCTCGCCCAGGTCCTAGGCACAGCACTTTCAAAGGTGCATGCCTGGTGTGCCTGATGCGCCTTGTTTTTTTTTGAACCTAGCGGCTGGCCTGACCACGCCCCTCGAGAAAAGCCCAAACAAATCTATGTTAACGGGGTCATCAATCTCATTTTCAGTGATTGTTAATGGGGTTCTAACTCAGTTTTTTCAGGCATCAAGGGGCATAAGGCAAGGAGATCAACTTTGACCTTTGTTGAAAAGTTCAATGAGCAAGGGTTCAGAGTTGGGAATGATTGAATATTTGAAGGCTTCAAAGTGGGGAGGGATGGTGTCACTATTAGACATCCTTCAATCTGTTGATGATATTTGATTTTCTTAGATTTTTCAGTTGACCAAGTGCTGAAATTGATGGTGATCCTAGGGACATTTGAGGCATTTGCTAGGAAAAAATTAATTTACCAATAGGTGCAAAGGCTCTCATTAGCTTGGAGAATTTCCTGGATAGAATTGATCAAAGATTGGCAGGGTGGAAAGGAAAATATCTATCCTTGGGGGGGGGGAAGAATCACTTTGATCAAGTGTGTTTTATCCCACTTGTTAGTATATTACTTATCTCTGCTTAAAATTCCTTGATGGCAAATTCTATTGTAAAAAATGCAAAAAGAATTTTTGTGGAATATCAAAGGAGTGAAGAGGAAGGTTCTCCTGGTAAAGCTGGATTGAGTTTGTAGGAAGAAAGAGGGAGGATTGGAAATTAGAAGAGTGAAGGTGTTTAATATGGCACTACTGGGAAATTGGTTATGGAGGTTTTGGTTAGAGAGGGAAGCTCTTTGGAGGAAAGTTGTGGCTTGTAAATATGGGGTGGTGGATTTTGGGTGGGATACAAAGGAGGTGAGGTTTTAATCTTGTTTCTTTTAAGGTAGGGAATGGCTTGACTGTAAAGTTATGGGAAGATGATTGAACAGGAGTTGGAAAGTTGTGATTTGTGTCCATGTTTATATGGATTAAGCAGGAAGAATATTGATATTTCAGAAAACTTTGAGATATCACAAGCTTGGGTAGTTTGGTGCCCAAATTAGAAGGCTGTTGTTGGATTGGGAGATTGGGAGATTGCGGCTTGTAAATATGGGGTGGTGGATTTTGGGTGGGATACAAAGGGGGTGAGGTCTTCCTTAATCTTGTTTCTTTTAATGTGGGGAATGGCTCGACTGTAAAGTTATGGGAAGATGATTGAACAGGAGTTGGAAAGTTGTGATTTGTGTCCATGTTTTTATGGATTAATTAGGAAGAATATTGATATTTCAGAAAACTTTGAGATATCACAAGCTTGGGTAGTTTGGTGCCCAAATTAGAAGGCCGTTGTTGGATTGGGAGATTGGGGAATCTTTTTACTATCAAAGTTACAAGTGGTTGAGCTGCTGGTTGATAGGAGGGATATAATGTGGTGGAAGGAATCAAGCAATGGAAGGTTTTCTGTTGTCTTTTTACAAAGCTCTTATAAGGAACCAAGTTGAGCGGTCTGAGGTGAAAGGAGTTTCGGGAAACCCTATTCTACCCAAGCTGAAATCTTTTGCTTGGCTTGTAGCTCTGGACAGTATATTGATCTTGGACCATATTCAAAGTAGATGGTTTCAAATGGCAGTTAGATGCTACCTATGTGAAGATGCTGAAGAGAACTCTTGCATCTTTGTTTTGGTTGTCCCTTCTCAAAATTCATTTGGGATTTTTTCTTCAGATTATTTAAACCCAAAATGATGGAACCAAGATCACCAGCAGATATTTTTGCTTGTAGGCCCAAGTGAGAGGAAACATCAAGACAAAGATAATGTGGAGCTGCATTCCTTTTCCATTTGTTGGGAGATTTAGAAGGAAAGAAACAGAAGAATTTTTGAAGATAAGGCATGAGGAAGGGATCAAATCACTCTCTTGGTCCCTACATGGGAAAAGGATAATGGATTGGATGCTTATACTTCCAGAACTTGAAGGAATCTCAAAGGAAGATTCCGGTGCTAATTTTTGGTCTCTCTCCTTTTTTTGGCAATTTTGGTCCCTCTGCTTGGGTTGGAGTCGAGTAGTTAATATCTTTTTTGTAATTTTTTGAGTGATATACTACTTTTTTGGTTTGTTGTAAGAGCTTGATGGTGATGTCTCGTCACCTTTACAGTTGTACTTTCTCTTTTCTTTAAGATTTTTTTTTTCTTTTTTATTTATTACCAAAAAAAGAGTGAGGAAAACCCCTTGATAGATTATCATAGCTATTTGAGGTGGGAGCAAGAAAACTGGTAATTATGTCATGGTTAGATGGTTCAGTACAGCCACATATCGCCAGGAATATGTTCATTTTGATGCTGAGGAGATGTGGGACAGGGTTACTTTAATGTACAAGTACATAGTATTGTTATAATCTATAGCTATGTAGGGAGGTTAGCAGTCCAAGACAGGGAGAAGTCTTACCATGTATCTCTTCTCTCCAATCTCTTTGAGAAGAGATAAATCACTTGGAGACCCAAATGTGGATAGAACTGCTAGATGGTGAGTAGTACAAGAAGCATGTAGAAAAGCCTAGGGTGTTTGAATTCTTAGTTGGGCTTAATCCTAATTTTGACTTCTAGGCAGCAAATATTAAGCAATTATGCTATGATTCTTTCTACTGCTTCTCTAATCCAATGGGAGGAGAGCCATAGGGCTACTTGCACTTGTAGCTGATCATTTTGCTCTGGTATCCACTAAACCTAAGCAGTTAGAGGGGTTCAAGTGACTGAAGGAGAGGAAGTAGTGTCTGGTTATTGTAATTTGTAAGAAACCAAAGCACACTAGAGACAAGTGCTAGAAATTGCACCTAGAGTACAAATTAGCCAAGTATAAGTGTATGAAGCGTGGTAATGCATTTATGGCTACTAGTTCAGAGATTTCTACTGCTACTACCTCTGCATCTACAAGTTCTAGCCGTGAGGGAACCTTAGCTACTATTGGGACTGATATTGAAAGACTCAATTGCCTTTTAGCACAGTTAGAAAACTGCAGTACTAGTTATTCTGGATCCATTAGTCCTACAGCTTTTTGCAAAGTCAGGTAACCCTATAGCCTATCATGTCTCTGCACCCACCTCTTAGCTTATTCTTTCAGGTGCGTCTGATCACATGACAAGTATGTCTTCATGTTTCAGTAACATTATTTGTCCTCATAAAGAGATAAAATTACAATAACTGATGGAACAAGTTCGAAATGCCTTGGGACATGGAACAAGTTCAATCAGTGTTTTAAAAGGCGTGGTAGGCATACGCGCCTCCAGGCGAGGCGCTCCCAAAATGCCTTGAGGCATATGCCAGAGGCACTGACACCTCTGAGACATTAGCTTCAGGTGCAAGAGGCGTATGCCTCATGCACTTTTTTCATGAGGCGTGCTAGAGGCGTACGCCTCGTGCACATCTTATATAAAAAGACAAAAAAAAAAGAAAAAAAAAAAAGGAATGGGAAGGAAAGGAAAAGAAAGGGAAGGGAAAGAAAAAGAAGGAGAAGAAAAAAAAAAGAGAAAAGGAAAGGGAAGGGAAGAAAAGCTCTCTCACCTCCGCTTCGACAAGACCCCCCCCCCCTTTCAACTAATGTTATGCATCTTTATTCTTCTTAGTATAAAAGATTTTTATTAAAAATAAAGAAAAAATGAGATGCCCCCTTCCTCTTCATCCTCCTCCTAACCTCCCTCCTCTTAAGGAAGCTTACGCCTCCTTGTATTCAGAAGGCTTATGCTTCTTGCGTTCTGAACTATGCCTCACGCCTCTAGGTAGTGGAATGCCTTGTGTCACGCCTCCGTGTTTTAAAACATTGAGTTCAATATGAAAATATTTTCTGCTATTCTTTCTGTGAAAGACTAGATTTGTAGTTTTTGACTTCCATTCTGTTACTGTTTTCAGGAGATTGACCAACCTGCCTTGATTCCACATATAGCAGAAGCAAGTTCTCTTAAATATCCATATGAAGTACTCTTCAGAAGTTTGCACAAGCTTCTAATGGACACTGCTACTTCAGAGTACTCAATAACAAGTTTCATACTTTATTATTGTGTTCTTATTTGTAGTTTTATCCCACTATGTAGCTTGAAATTCTGATCCATCTCTTCTTGTTCTATAGGTACCTCTTCTGTGATGATTTCTTTGGGGAAGAATCTATATATTATGAAATTTTTGCAGGTAATCATGATAAATGTTCCTGATCATTTGATCATTGTATTGTTTGTGGGTGGGGGTGTTAAACTTTTTTATTATTAAAGTGGAAAGAATATTAATGTACGTTTAGAAGGTACAAGGAAATGGATGTGTTCCCCAAGAAAAAACGTGTCTTTTGTGTAGATATGGGCTTTTCCTACCTTCTGTTTTGCACCCTACTTCCCCCTTAGTGTGTGATTCCCCTATACAACTGATATCTCATAGCACCCTGTGTAGCTAGTGCATCTGCTATCCCATTAACTGATCTCTCTACACATTGAATATTTGCTGCCATTTCCCCTTTTAAGCCTCCATACCTCTTTCATTTTACTTTTATGATTCCAATAACCTTCTTGCTTGTTCCTTATCCACCTCACCACCACCTTTGAATCACATTCCACTACTACAGCTATCAAAGTTGAAAGTTCTTGCCATTTGTAGCCCTGGCAAGACTGCCAAGATTTCAGCTCTTGTGGAGTCCAACACCTATAAGCCCATAATAGAAAAATAGAAATATAATATGTTGAGCACAGTTTCTAAGAACTCCCTCTATGCTTGAGATTCCTGTGTTAGTGAGACTGCAACCATCAAAATTCATTTCGATTTGGCCAATTAGAGTTGGACTCCACACCACCAAAAGAAAAAGATTAAAAAAGAAATATTAAAAGATAAAGAAAAGAAAAAAAAAGAAGCAAAGAAAAACTATGCTTTCGGATGCTTTTTTGATTTGTGTTCAAGACATTCTTCTTGTTACATTGCATTACCTGGAATGGACCTGATAAGGAAATAAACAAATCCAGTACCAGCTCTTTGTTCAAGAAATTCCTCCTGTCGGCTGTTGCATTGCACAGTATCTGCTACCAGTTTTTTAAGAGCTAATCATATTGTTACTTAGAGCTGTAAAGTATTTTGAGTAAATATTGACCACCTATGAAGAAATAAGGGCTGTTTAAGAATCAAGTGGTCACCAAGGAATACGCCATGGTGTTTTTGAGATATTTTGTTATAATGATACTGTGCTGATGTTTTACCTTGTTTTGGTCATTTGTAGGTCCTTTTTCTGTTATTGATGAACATTTCAATTCAGTACTTCCAAATTGTTTTGATGCTATTGGCCTTATGATCATGATCCGCATCATACATCAACATCAGGTAAGGATTAGAGCCTTTCCTACAGATGATACTCTTTTTTATCGTGTGTGCATTAGAGGTGGGGTGTTACATATGCATTATGTCAGGTTGTTAAAAGATGATGATGATGATGCACATAGATACATAGTGATGATCTCTGTGATATATTTCTCTTGACCTTTAACACCGAACTCCTCGCTACAGCTCCTCAATTCCTCCAAAGATCATCAAAGGAAAAAAGGGAAAAGATATCTAGTGTTTTAGCCCACAGTATGACCTTACTAACAATGCAGTCCCAAATAGCCTCCTCATTCCTTTCCTTAAAATTAAAAATTCTATCATTTATCTCTTCCCAAACTGTTCAAACCAAAGTAGATCTAGCATATCTCCAAAGGATTCTGCCCCTTCTCTTAGGCCAACTGAAGATGGTAGGGTCAAAGAGATTACTGATCTGCAAAGGCAAAGACCACTTGCAACCAAAACGATCAAACAACCTTTCCCACAAGCCTGCAACAATAGAGCATGAGACTAACAGATGGTAACAACTCTCACTATTAACTTTGCATAAAATACACCAACTCGGGGAGAGACAAAGGTTCAGTCTTCTTCTCTGTAGGTTGTGCAAATTGTTTAACTTTTGATGAAAAGCTTCCCAACAAAGAGCTCCAGTGATCCAACCTTGGGAGGGATAGGCTTAGACAACACTTCTTTAGATGGGAAAACAGGGGCAGACAAGTCCAACACGAGGAGAAAAAGGAAGCACAAGAGAAGAGGCCTTTAGGATTAGGGGACCACACCTGACTATCGGAGGAGGAAGGACTCAACAAAAAAAAAAAAAGTCAAGGACCTTTGGAAGTGAGGCAACCTGATCAAACTGATGGTCCTTCAGACCTCTTCTCAAGCCTTTGAACTGACACTGGTTGAAGGAGAAAAGGATGCAAAACATTGTATAGGTTCATTATTGATGATAGAAACAGAGTACAAGGAGGGAAAAAGGTCCTTAAGAGTACAGTTGCCAACCCAAATATCTTCCCAGAACAAAACATTATTTTTTATTTCAATATATTATTTTCTTTTGTTGCCAAAAAAGAAAAGGTTCTTCCATGAATTACAATTATGCTAATTGGTGGCTTTATCTGACTGGTGCTTTTGCAATAGAATTGTTACCTCTTTATTTGAGCCATACATGCATAGCTAGCGAGTTCTTTATTCTAAGTGATTACTAATTGAGTTTCATTCTTCAGCTCATTATGTCCCGACGGCGGATTCCATGTTTGGATTCATACCTAGACAAGGTATGCATATTCTGATTTTGAGAATTTTTTTGGGATGTTGTAGTGTTCTGATAGGTTCACAAATAACTATTTCCTTTCATGTTATCTTCATTTATATCATCTTTCTTCACCTTCTACTTGCTTATAAGACAATTTCTTATCTTTCATGGAAAAACAAGCTGGATAATAGCAAATTGGAACATGATAATAGTAAAATTAGGTCAGGGGTATAATTTTGGCCAGGTTTTCGCAGACCCAACCCAAAAAATGTTGGGTTGAATTGCACTAGGTTGAAGGTCAGATTAGGCTTAGTCTTGAAAATTGTAAACCTGCGTTAACTCAGGTTGAGTTAAAACAGTGTAACTTCATCCCCATATATGTACTAACTCTAAAGCAGTGTTTAAAAGGAGTGGGAGGCGTACACCTAGAGGCGTGCCTCCAGGCAAGGTGCTCCCAAAATGCCCTGAGGTGTATGCCAGAGTGCTGACACCTCTGAGGCGTACACCTCATATAAAAAGAAAAAAAAGGAAAGGAAAGGAAAAGAAAAGAAAAGAAAGGGAAGGGAAAGAAAAAGAAAGAAAGAGAAGAAAAAAAAAAGAGAAAAGGAAAGGGAAGGGAAGAAAAGATAAGGGGAAAGAAAGTGGTCTGTCCCTGGCCCCTTCGGCCTCGCTTGCTCGCCTCCACTTCGACAAGACTCCCCCCCTCTTCAGCTAGTGCTATGCATCTTTATTCTTCTTATAAAAGATTTTTATTAAAAATAAAGAAAAAGAATGAGATCCCCCCCTCCCTCTTTTTCCTCCTGATCCCCCTTCTCTTAAGGAGGCTTACGCCTCTTACATTCTGAACTATGCCTCATGCCTCTAGGTAGTGGAATGCCTTGCGTCATGCCTCCACGTTTTAAAACATTGCTCTAAAGCTAGCTAACTCTAATTAGCTAATCCCAAATCTAAGAAATGAGAAGATAGCTAACTCTCCCAATCTTGTAATTATCTTTTTATAATTCTAATGAAATCCGGTTGTTGATCAAAAATAAGGGTGAAGAAATTTTGCCAACTCGAACCAACCTGACGTCATTGGGTTAGGTAGGGTTTTCTAGTGATGTGATGGAACTAACTTTAAAATTAGAGTTGTACAAGTTAAAAGGGTCTAGAAGATCTTGGAGCAGACTAATAAAGGACATAGGTTAGAATAGTGAGAAAAAATAAGGGCCAGACCGGTTGAACAGGATCATGTAGCATATCCCAAATGGTTGGTACCAGGCTTAGTTGAGTTGAGAGTTTATGGTATCAAAATTACTAGTAATGGCAAAGTATCAATGAAGTATGGTGCATATAACCAATATTGGAATATTAGAATTAGTGTAAAACATAAGTCCGTATACAGCGTACACCTCCCAAGATCACAGATAGCCAGGAGCATTATTGGGTAATGTCCCTTTGTATGGTGATGTATAAAGCACATTCAGTGGGGTACTAGACACTTTACTGCTTCTTATTATCCAAATATGTAATGATTAAAGTTGATAAATTAGCTCCCTTTTCTAAACAATTGGAAGGATTTGTCTTTGCCATCTGTTTCCTTCTTTTAAAACGCAACGAGACGACCTAGAAGTGTTGCAAAAGTGAAGTATGTATAGAAATGAGTTGAGCAGCATTTCATAATCAGCAATAAAGTACTAACAAATAAGTTGACTGAATTTTTCATCAATATTAGTTGTAATAATCCTGAACTGAACTTGAACAGGTCAATATTGCACTATGGCCTCGTTTCAAGATGGTATTTGATTTGCATCTTAACAGCCTGCGTAATGCAAATGTGAAGACCTTGTGGGAGGATGATGTCCACCCTCATTATGTAATGAGGCGATATGCTGAGTTCTCAGCCTCACTTGTTCACCTCAATGTTGAATATGGAGATGGCCAGGTTTGCCAACTTTGAAGGTTGAAAATTTTAGATTTCACTTAGCAGGTATAGTAATCACTTGTAGTTTGTCTCCATTTGTTTCTTGCAGCTTGATTTGAACTTGGATAGACTGCGAATGGCTGTCGATGATCTTCTCATTAAGCTTGCACAATTGTTCCCCAAGCCAAAGCTGCAAACAGTCTTTCTTATCAACAATTATGATATGACAATTGCTGTTTCGAAGGTATAGAGATCAAGATTTTACTTCAAATTTTGCTCTTCTTTCCTGTATATGGGCCCTATGAGGTATAATTCGTTAAGATCATCATTGTGCCACCACAAAACAGCTTCACTGGAGAACAAGCAGTATAAGAAAATCATATAGGACCGTTTTAAAAGAAATAGATGTATGGCAAGTGCATGCTAGGAGCATGGAGCTCAAGATATATCTGCTGAATCTTCTTTACTAAAAATTAAAAAAAAAAGGAAACTTCAACTTCCTATACCAACTAAGGACAGTGCAGAAAACTCATTTGCACTAATTTTCCTTATTTCTAAAGTCATCCCCAGTTCCCCACCAAGTCCTAAATGTAGTACAAACCTCATTTTTGTGTTCGATATTTTATTGCTTGTGATAAAATATAAAAGAAAAAATGAATGGTTATTTATATTCTTTCCCCCTTGGAAATGTTACTTGGTCTTTTAGAGTTATATGTTGTTCAAAACCCAAATAGATAAATGATTTACTAAATTATATAGACACAAAATAAAAATAAAATTAATTATATTTCTAGCTTTATAAAAATTCAAAGACAAAAGAAAAATAAAACAAAGAGTGTACAACTACTTTTTGGTGAAAATTTCCTAAACAATAATGACAATCAAAGAATGCTACTGGGTGTCTAAAAAGACATTTTAGGAGTATTTGGGTAGAAGTTGAATATGAAGAGAACCTAATGGGCACAAGTTTCAGTTGGAAGGTAATTTTTGTAATGATTATGCTTTGCATTTCTTTTTTGTAAGTGAAAATTTAAAGTGCCCGTATCAGTTATTTTCCCCGAAAAACACGCTGAATCTTAAACTTTCTTCATTATTTGTTACATCTATAGCATGCGACTTTGGTCCTGGCAATGCATTGGGAGTCTGTTTTTATAACTTTTTTTTTTTTTGTTAAATTGGTTAATAGGAAGCAGGTCCAGAAGGTGGGAAGACACAACTGCATTTTGAAGAACTGCTTAAGAGCAACACAGTGATATTTGTGGTAAGCACCCAAGGACTTTTGTATGACTTGTTAGGCCAGCAATAAAACTGTTCAAGTGTCTGATCCTGTCAGACAGACATTGGCCGTGGTTAATACTGGCTACTGATAAGTGACTGGTATTCTCAATTTACCAGATCCTCCAAAAGTCCCTCTTGTTTCAATGAAAAACAGACAAGATTTTTCAGGTTGAAACATCTGAGCTATATCTTCTACCCTTCTATGATGAAAACTTTGTTTTCTTTTCCATTTAGATCAAAACAAATTTGAAGGGGTAGAAAACAAAGTCCTTAGGAGGAAAAAAAGGAAACCTGTAGTTCTCTTTTCTGTTTGTACCAATCAACAATATTTCCCTTCCTTTATGGATCACATTTTAACATTGGATTAGAATGCATGACCTATCTTTGTATCAGCATTAGTCTCACCTGATACCACTTTGACAATTAAAAAACTGCCACTGGAGTACAGTTCCACCACCCTGAATTTCTTCTTTGCTTCCCATTGAATCTTTTAAGCCCACGTTGGATTGCTTTCAAGTACTCTTTGATCATCTTTGTTTCTGTTTTAGATTGTGGCCACTTTGTGTTAGAGAGAGAGAGAGAGAGAGAGAGAGATGTGAAGGTTATGAGAGTGTGATCATCTATGCATGTTAGTTGTTGGCATTACCTACACATCACTGCACGTGACATAGTAAAATTAATTTGAGTGAGTTTAGAATATATGTTAAATAGAATTTTCAGAAAGGGTGGTGACTACCCCCATTTGACACTTGCGGGCACCAAGTCTAACATGACACTTTAGAAACTCTTCTCTCTCACATCTGTAAGATGCAAATATTGAACTCACTTTTAAGGATAAATTTTGGACATGAATTGAATTTGTAATACTTGATAGTTTAGTATAATTGATTTGTTTGCTTAGTATTGTTTTCAGTGATATTACATCTATTTTCAATCCCCTTTTTTTCAGGCTTCCAAGTTTGGCATCATCTACCGATTTGCCAATCTTTGTACCCATTGGATTTTTGATTGCATATTCATAGGCAGTCATTTAATCTCCCTTGGTTCATTTACTGACATTTATACCAATTGGTAGTTAAGATTATTTATCCTTCTATTCCTGCAGGAAGAACTATTGATGGAGCATTTCAGTGACTTAATCAAGTTTCTAAAGACCCGCGTGTGTAAGTATTGGGAAGAAACCTTATTTTGAATAGTCTATATTATCATGATATTTTTTAGGTAATGGAGTTTATTAATATATTCCTATGTCAGCCGAGGATCCAAGTTCTAGCTCAGAGAGGCCAATCACAGTTGCTGATGTAGAGCCACTTGTCAAGGACTTTGCTAGCAGATGGAAAGCTGCAATTGAACTTATGCACAAAGATGTCATCACTTCTTTCAGCAACTTTTTGTGTGGCATGGAGATCTTGAAAGCTGCATTGACCCAACTGCTGCTTTATTACACCAGATTCACTGATTGCATCAGGCGGATTGTTGGTGGTTCTGCATTGAACAAGGACCTAGTTTCTATATCTTCAATTATGTACGAAATCAAGAAATACTCGAGGCCTTTCTAATTCTGTTTTGTAGGTTAAACAAGAGCCTTTAAAATCCCTTGTTCTTTTTGGAACGCCAAAGGATTTTGAAAAAAGTTGCTTTGATAATCTCCTATTTACCATTTTGTTTCCCATTACTACCCCTGTTTATGAAGATGATCTGATGCAAGGTTGAAGGATATAGAAGCGACAGGAGAGGCCAAAAATTGGTTGAGATAATGAGGGTTATCTGAGGGCACAAAATGAGGAAACTGGATTTGTGTATCCAACCCCACGTAGTTGGGTTAAGCTTTGTTGAGTTGAGTCCTGTTGTTTACGGCATGACTCAACTATTTATCAGCTAGTGTCAGGTGAGTCTTCATCTGCTTGATTTTATGGTGAATGTTGTACTCTCTAATAAATGGCCACATTTCAGAATTGCAATAATCAAAAGCATCAAAGGACGTCTAGGGTTCATTATTTGCGAAAATGTCCACATTTTCCATAGGGTTGCTAAAATCGTGGAATTGAACGTCCAAACTAACTTGAAGTAAAAGTTTTTTTATCATTTTTTCTTCTATAAATTTTCTATTAAAAAGTAATTAGTAAACTTCTTACATGTAAAATTACCAAATTTGGTCATGAAAATAATTGCAAAAACAGTAAACTGAGAAGGTTCTTTCTTCAAAATCTAGCAATGTATCCATGTATAACCAAGGTTCAAAATTGTCACATATCGGCCTGTATTGGTCGATACGTATCGTTTCGTTAGGTTTCCAGCATGATATATGGTATCAAATCAAGGGTATCGTATCTTTTCATCGTATCGTGGCTGTATCGTGGCAGTATAACATGAAATACAATACGTATTGGTTTACAAAGTTATTGATACTCCAAATAGGTGTTCCAATAGTTTTAAATATTACAAACCTTTTTAATACAGCCTTCCTCCAATTATTATAAATCTTCTTACTATTTAAATTATATTTGTTTCTTTCCCTTTCACTCTCACTGATATTGTTCAGTATTTGTCTCTGATGAATGGTTGAAATTGAAAAATGAAGAGAAAAATCTACCACAATTGGTGCTAAAATCTTTAGCCAAGATCTAAATTCATGATGAGATTAGTATGATTATGATTCAAACCGACAAACCTGTAGGGTTATCAGTTATACACCCACCCCTTTCGAGGGTTGTCGAAGGGAATTTTTTGCACATGAAGTAAAATCCCATTTATTTTTTGTGAGATTTGAAAGGAATGAGGAGTAATGGCAAAGTAAAATTCGTAGTAATTACATGGATTTGACAATGAAGCGGAAGAGACATGATATTTGAAAAACTTGTGAAGTAACCAATCAAGTGGTATTTAATACTACCACAAAAATCAGGTGGTATTTAACAAAATGCACGAGTGGGTTTTGATTGGTCAAAGCTATTCCGGTACTGGCGTGTAGATTATTAATCACGTTATTGTAATTACTGTAATATTATTTTACAATAATAAAAATAACAGTAATTAAAAGTTATTATTGAAAATTGCCATAATTTAGGCAAATTAATTATTCAATTGTTTGAAAAAATAATTTAATAGTAAATTACCATATTTAATGAATTATTTAAGTAAAATAACAGTAATTTAATAGTAAATTGTTGCTTAATTAGTGAATGAACCATAATTTTGTTAAGTAAAATAGTTGACTAAATTACTGAGTTATCTAAGTAAAATATCACAATAATTAAAACAATTTCACATATATTTACTTAATTAGGTAAAACAATTAGGCCCAACACTTAGAATAGTTAAGGCCCAAGCCCAAGGTCAAGCTGGATTTGTCCAACTTGAGCCCAGTCCACACTAAAATTTTATGCACTTGGATTGAGCGCAGGCTTGGGCCACTGGGCTTGGATTAGTCAATAAGCATACACTAAAATTTAAACTAAATATGCATGTGTGTGTATGTATGCATGCAAATAATGTGTCTATATGTGCATGTACATGAGTATATAGTTCGATTGGACTCGAGTTAGGATAAGGTCGGGCTTGGCTCATATTGCCCATGAGTTAGGATTGGGCCCAGCCCCAAAAATTTAAAAAGCCCAAATACTTAGGCATAGGCCCAATCCAAGGACCAAATATCCAAGCCCAATCCTTATAAAATTGTGGGCCGAATTGGTCCAGACTCGGGCTGGGCTCATCCAAATTGTACCCCTAGATATAGGTCCTTTTTGAGTTTAGGCTCATACTACATATGGGTTCATTAGTTTGATGCCAATATGTACTCATATGAGCAATTGTAAGTGCAAATTATTTAACAAGCTTGTACTTTAAGTTACCTATTTAATTAGGCAACTTATATATGTAGTTAAACAAACCTAATTAACTTAATTAGGTAACACAATTATTAATTATTATTACTAATAAAACTATAAAAGTTATAATTTTAATCCATTTAAGGAATATTTAAAATTATAAAAATTGTAAATATTAATTCAAATCTGTTAATAATAATTTTTATTAATTAAAAGTGCAATTAAATTACTAATATTATATATATAATTAATAAAAAATAGTAATCATATACAATTAATTTTGCTATGAGAAATTATTAATTTCAAAACTAACTTTTATAAATTCTATTTAAAATAATTACATTATAAAGATTTATAGTAGGCCTATAGCCTAACATAGCCCATGATTACACCAATTTCCAACTTAAATTAATGACTCTTAAGTTTTCAAAATGTTTTCACAAAAATGGGTGGATTGGCATGGGTTTGACTCAACCCTAACCCCCTCCCCCTACTATATAGTTTCTTATCCTATCAACCTAACCTGTCTCGTAGTCTTTCAATTGTATTTTTACAAGAGTACCCTACACTAGATTTGGGTTAAAACAGACACCGAAAGAAGTCATAAACATTAAGGTTAGGAGTCAGAAGTCAGATCAAATTACAAGAATATCACTTATATATAAGTGTATTATGACCTGATGGGCCAGGTCAGCCAAACTCGCACCCGCTTTGAGTTAAATAATTTACGTAAATTATGCTACTTAATTAGTTAGAACTATTTGAAAAAGTAATTTGATTGTAAATTAACATATTTAATGAATTAAATATGTGCCCTGTCCTCATTCTAGGAGCATGTCCATCACTTGAACTACATGCTAAATTGCTAATTTACAAATGCTGAAAAGTGGAATGTACTTATTTGCCCATTGATGCAAATATTGAAAATCAACCATTGACTAAATGGAAAGATTTGCTTATGAGGGATCCCTAGATATCATGAAGAATGATTACATACAAAATCAATGCAAACAAGCATGCCTTCCACTCCGATGTATAATACAGACAACACAAACAGCTATTATTAAATAATCAAATCAAACACCACCTTCCCCCTAAACGAAAAAAAAAGGTAAACCATGCTAAACTTGAGACAAATTTGGCACACATTTGTGCATAATTACAATCAATACACAAATTAAATTAGAACAAAGGCAGGAAGGGAAAGGACATCAATAGACAACAGAACCTGGTAAAACACAAATTATCCTGTCCTGTATTTTATTTCTACTCTGTTATCTTTACCTACCCTTCTATTTTAGTTTATAGATTGTATTTATCTCTGAGAGTCCATCGAACTTTTGGGTCTCTCATCTGTTGCAACAGAATATTATAAATACACAATATTGATCACCCGTTAGTGCGTGACCAAATTACTTCACCTCAGAATTCTTTCATGGTATCAGAGCCTTCGTCCCAAAACACAATATCAGCCACCTCAAATACTTCGAATGGCTCTACTCTAGTTATCAACTCGATCCCTCTGAATCTCGTACTCACCGATACCTCGTTTCTGGTCTTTGGCAACAGTAATTTCTCAAATGGCGAGTTGCAACACAAGATGAGATTGATGCCCTCATATGCAATGGAATTTGGGAACTCATACTGTAAAACCAGAGCTTTTCTGGTTTATTCTTTTCTGTATTTTATTCATTGAGAATTCAAATATATATACACATGAATACAATCACCGAACCTCCTAAGCTTATGGCAATTAGAACTCCTAAGTTTACAGGGACTCAAACATATCTTTCCTATCCTATCTGAACTATTCATGATAAGAAGATATATACAAACAAGATAATACATTGATCAGACTCCTAATCCTAACACCCTCCTCAAGTCGGAGCATGTAGATTGTGAATGCCCAACTTGCGGATAAAGTACTCAAATTCTCTACGACCCAGTGCCTTTGTAAAAATGTCAACCAGTTGAACGGTAGTCGACACATAAGCAAGACGAATGCAACCATTTTGTATCTCATCAACTTCAATATGTTTCGTACGCTCATGAAACACTAGGTTTGTTGCAATATGCAAGGCTGCCTAACTATCACAATATAATCGCATTAGGTTTGAATGCGTAACTCCAAGAGTCAATAGCAATCCCTTCAGCCATTTTAATTCACACATGGTCGTGGCCATAGAACGATACTCTGCTTCCGCTGAAGAACGAGCCATAGTGTGTTGTTTCTTAGTTTTCCAGGAAATAGGTGATTTCCCAAGCAAAATAAACCATCCAGACAGAGAACGTCGGGACAAAGGACAGATCACCCAGTTTGAACCACACCATGCATATAACTGTAAGTTACAATCTGAACACAAGAGAATTCCTTGACCAGGATTTCCTTTCAAGTAGCGCACCACTCGCAAGGCAACCTCCCAGTGTCTTTCTTGTGGTTGCTGCATAAATTGGGATAGAACATGCACACAATAAGACAACTCTGGACGAGTTGCTGAGAGATAAATAAGCCTGCCCACCAAGCGCCTGTATCGCTCAGAATCAGATAAGAGAGGCCCATCTGTCAAGGTGAGATTGTGATTCTGCTCTAGAGGAAAATGAGCAGGATTTGCACCAAGTAATCCAACTTCAGAGATAATATCCAAAGCATACTTACGTTGAGACAGAAAAATTCCTGTTGTGTTTCAGGCAACTTCAATACCCAAAAAATATTTCAATGATCCCAAGTCTTTCATATGAAAGCAGTCACTCAAATATTTCTTGAAGACTTGAATTGCCATACGATCATTACCTGACACGATAATGTCGTCCACATACACGAGAACAAGCACATGCACTCTGTCTCGACGAAAGGTGCAGAGGGAGTAATCTGAACATGATTGCTGAAACCCATATGTCTTCAAGGCTGCGGTTAATTTAGCAAACCAACATCTTGGTGCTTGTTTCAAGCCATACAGAGATTTTCGCAACCGACACACCATACCTGGTTTATCTGACTGAAAACCAGGAGGCATTCGCATGTAGACTTCCTCATGGAGGTCACCATGCAAAAATGAGTTATGTACGTCCATTTGATGAAGCTCCCA